TTCGAGTCGTAGAAGTAGATATGCCCATCCGAGGACCCACACACGACAATATTCCCATTTGAGTTGAAATTGCATTTGATAGGGAATCCGGAAACACTATGGCTTTCATACCTCTTGTATTTGTCCAGTCTGAACGGAGGCGTTGTTGAGAAGATCGCTATGTAGTTTCCATTTGATTGTGCTATGAAGTAGGGATCGGAAGGGTGGCATCTTACAGAGGGGCAAGTATAGGCTTCAGCATAGACCTGAAAGAAAAGCCTTGCCAAGATTAACATCATCAGTGAGTATATGTAGAATGCATGAATACCAACATCACATTACGATTAAAATGGTTTCATAGTGAGGATATGTTCAAAGGGAAAACTACTCAACTAAGACTAAGACATACAGTACTTCATATACCAAAATAGGACTTTCAATATTTTTATACCAAAATAGGACCTAGAATGCCAAAACGTGTCAATATATAATGTCAAAAAAACACTCCAAAACACCGACATGCAATGCCAAATTGTGGTATTGCAAAATAGGAGGTCTTACTTTATACATTTGATGTTTTAGTCCTAGTTCGGTAGATTTCTTATAGGAAAATACTTGTACCTGGTTAGATAAGGGGATTTCCCGAGAGATATCCCAAATAATGATTGAGTTCTCGCTGATATTGCTTCCAGAAACATCGCTCGAGGAGATCAACTGTTTGGCATCACCGGTGAATTCCACATCAAGAATTGGACCAAGATTCCGTTTATATTGATGGACAACCTTTCCGGTCCTAACATCCCACAATTTAAGGCCGCCTCTAGAGCCTCCAGAGATGAAGAGATTGAAATTGTGCGGATGAAATTTCACCACTCCAACAACTTGGTCCTCCTTGAATATCTGACTCTCGACTCCCTTTTCAACATCTATTAGCCGCGATGAGCAGTCATATCCGCACGAGAGCACAGAGAGCCCATTATTTGACCACTTCACATCTTTTACAGCAGCAGCGTGATGATTGAATATGCGCACTTTCTTATTATCTCTACTCCAAACACTCCATATGCAGACAGTTTGATCCATTCCAGCAGATGCAAGAAGGTGAGCTGAACACTTGACACTTCAGGATTAAATTGGGATTCGATGAAACAAGCACCATCATTCATGTTAAGCTTAATAAGTTTTAAAAATATGGAGCTTAATAAGTTTTAAAAATATGGAGCGCTCAAAATGTTGAATTGAATAGAAGGATGCTTACCCATTTACACACAATATTGAGTTGATGTTATGAGCGCTCAATATGCATACACCATATGTTGGGTTATACTCTTAATCAATCAAGGCCCATAAAGAGGGCGAAGCAAATCAGTCCAATGTGATGTTCAGAGTCCAGATGAGATCAACGAAACATGATTCATCCAGAGAGTATAATAATTTTAAAAGTTCTAATTTCAAACACTGAAAAAGCATTTCCCCACCCCTACCTTGGTTTGGAAGTTGGCCAAAAATAAAAATGGATGAAGTGATTGAAAATTTTGAAACTAACCAAAACTATAGGCGGAACCAGAATACATAAACCAAAAAAATTCAATTGGTAATTCATGGATAAATAAAGTTTTAATTTAAAAAATAATGAAAAATTAGGAGCAGAATTTGAGAATGTTAAGAGTATAATCGATGAACTTTAAATGGAATGGCATGGATAATAGGGAGACTCTGAATAGATTATAGTTCTATCTATGAAAGATTTAATTTCAGGCTGCATAAAAAGGGCTGACTTCACATAAGTGTTGGCCTCATTCGAGGCAGCTCAACCTCACATTCATTTTTAGATGTCAAATTCATTAATGTAGAATTTACTAATGATAAAGGTGGCTTTTTGGTGTTAGTGTGTTACTGAACAAACACAAATGTTAGGCTACTCAATACTCATGTAAACACACCCTACAAATGAAGTACAATCCATTGTGTAATGAAAAGGGGATGTGAAGTTTGAGGAACATTTATCCTTAACTCAAAAAGGGCCACCAGTTTCACGACTTTCATCACTTGGATTTCCACATGAAATTGGATGTTTACTTATTTTTTCAAACTCTAAGGGTCTGTTTGGTACAAAGATCTGACGGAATTGGAATTGAATTGGAAATTGAAATTCTATGGAATTGATTTGGATGGAATTGAATTCTACTAATTCAATTCATTTTTGGCACCACCTATTCAAAATCCACATATTTTTGTGCTACCAAACAGCAGCATTGGAATTGTTGTCCCCAATTCCATATCCAATTATCCATAGTTGGAACTTCGTGTACCAAAGGAAGCCTAAGATTTCTTTATGGTTGTGTTTAGCCATTAGTCCTGAAAAACAGATCTATCTAATCAGAAAATGATCAGAGCACCAGATAGATAGAGTGAGGGTTCAGATATAGTTTTATTCATTTCATTTATAATGCAAACCACAATCCATTCTTTGATACGTAGTTGATCGCAACCAAAGATGACATGGATGACGAAAGATGGGGGGATGTTGTATAACATTAAACTATGTATGGAATACTTACGATGATTTTTTGACCATTGTACTGCATTAACAGATCTTGTGTGCCCATCAAGCGCCATGGATAGTCTCTCTGGCACTTGGCCAGAGCTCTTATCTATGTTCGAATGATGCCTCAATGCTGATAAAATGTTTTGAGGAAGATCTGAAATGGAAATAGGTCCCAAAGCTGGGAAAATAGTATTTTAAACAAGTTAGAAGACGGACAAACAGTTAATAGAGCAATCAAAAACATAAAAAATGGTTAACAATTGTGGTTCTAATGCAAGACTGATAGAGATGTGATAAAAAGTAGGATAAAGTGGGAGATAATACCTGGTGAAACGGGAGAGGGAGATTGGTTGGGAATGGAACCCAATGAAGATGAAGCCAATGTGCTTCTCTCTCGCTTAGAGATGTACCTGCCCGGAACCGGACCATCCACAGAGGGCGAATTTGGACTTACATTCGGGTGAAACACCTGCAAGGGTTTTAAGCCGGGATCCATGGATGGGTCGGATCTGGCCCGCTTCTGAGGACGATTCCATCCATTCGTGGCGCGTCCAGCTCCGGGATGGCCATCGTCGTCTTCGTCCAGAGCACAAGAGTACGCTTTAGACAAAAGATCCATGCGGCGAACTAGCTACAATTCGCAGAACCAGCAAGACTTTACCGAGTGCTGGAGTGGCAGAGCCAAATCTCAAACCGATGCGGTTCCTTCTTCTACTTCTCTTAACCCCTTATTCTATTCTCTTAACCCCTCATTTTCAAGATTTCAATAAATATTTTTTTTACAATGGAAATGTCAATCTTTTCGAATCCGTCCAATAATACAATCAATCAAGTAAAGGAACACCAAATTTTCGAACATTCACCGAATTCAAACAAACAGGACAAAAATCATTCTTTTCGAACATCCCAAATTGCAATTTTTTTTAAATTTTCACTTTGAAGAAAATTATCCTCACTTTGCAAACAATCCTTGTTGAACAGTTTCTTCAAGAGTAGTCATTGCGATTCCTTAGTAGTCATGTTCTTTACCAAGGAGGAACAACCATATGCCATACTGAGTTTATGGACGGCATGCACTAGCGGCTGTCTCTAACGTACTTACGGGGGTTGCCATGGCGGTCGGGGATGACATAGATGGCGCTATACCAGTCGAACGCTGCAAAAAGACACGCCTAGCGAGTATTCCGGGAGAAAAACAAAAGATCACAATATCCCGTCGGTAGGTATTGAAGTATGTATGCCCACTGGTAGGAGAGTGGACGCGTGTTTGAGGTCTCAAAATTGGAATCTTGCTCTAATGGGAACTTCAAATAATTATATTCCTACTAAAACAAGATTCATACTCCCTCTGGTTTTAAAAATTTTTTCTGTTTCGACTATTTTGGTCAAATAATGACACGTTTTGACCACAAATTAAACATAATTTAACTAAATAAATGGTATAAAAAGTTGATATATCAAAACTATATCTTAAGATGAAACCGATTATATTGAATTTATATTATAATTAGATATACTTTTCTCACAATTTATGGTCAAAGAGTATCATTGTTTGACAAAAAAATCAAAACATGAAAGGTTTTTGGGAGGGAAGGGAGTATCAAATAGGAGAACTACCAAATCGAATCTCAAAGGGATTCGGTTCCCTTTTCTACGTCTCCTTCGCGTAATACTCCCTCCGTCCCATATCACATGCCACACTCTGAACAATGCGCAAAATCTCATCATTTTTAAAATTATTTTAATTACAAATTGGTATATAAAGAAAAATTATAAATCACGTTCTTTAAAAAGTACTTAAAATACTCTATAAAATAAGAAGTGACAAAAATATTTTATTTTATCAAATTATCAATGAAAATATATAAATAAATAAAAGTAGTTGAGATTCCATAATAGTCTAACATTGGTATCCATTTCGGGACGAAGGAAGTATATAATATCATCAAACTTGTATTGTTCACACTTCTAAACTTTTGTTTAAGAGATAAAAACAATGTCATTTCTATTACTTCTTCTATTCCTAAAAGATTGTCATAGTTTGACTTTTTGGTCTAATTGTGACACTTTTTTATCACAAATTACATATAATTTAAAACATTTAAATATTATAAAAATTTTATACTTTTAAAACTATATTTTAAAATATACTAAATTTTAATAAATTTACATTATAACTAAATATACTTTTTCCCTAATTTACAGTCAAAGAGTGCCACAATTTGATCAAAAAAATCAAACTGTTACAATCTTTTAGGGACAGAAGAAATATAATATTTTATTTTTGATAACATTTTATTTTTATATAAAAATATTTTTCTTAATTATTCTCATTTTCTTTTCTCGTCAACTAAACAAAAAATATTCGGAGTATATATTTTCACATGAAAAATTATTCTCCCATTAGTGTCATCACTCAAGTTCTTTAGACAATAGAATTTGTTGTCATAACAACAACTCCAATTGAATATAACCCCATCTAAAAAGAAATTTCTTCGCAACATTTTTAAAAAGAACAGCCAAGCGTCTTCCGTATTTGTGAATATATTGTTAGAGAGATTTTCAGCACATATAATACAGAATTAGGAAGATGATGTCAAGCAACTATACAGCCATTGATGATCACAATGTCTCCGGATCTGTTCCTGTCAGTCAATTTCTTTGTTTTTTTTTTTCATTTCAAAAATTTTCAAACTATATTCAGATCCAGGGATCTTTCTACTGTTTTTCATGTTCATTTCTTTTGCAATTTTGCAGGCAGTAGCAGATCCTCCTCCCCATGTTGCCGTCAAATTCACTGGTATTTATGCGTCAAAATGCAAATCTGTTTTACAATTTTGTGATTGATTTCTGAATTACTGGAAGTGAATTTGTGCAATTTTTTTCAGAGTCGAATCTCCAAACATTTCCGCCTTCAAGTTCACAGGGGAAAATCTCTCGTGGCTCTGGTCCTCCACGTGATGCTGATGGTATGTTCTGAGTAGAATATAAGGAGTATATACATATATCGATTCCAATTGTTATCGAGCTGAAGAGAAATTTAGGTTGATTTTGAAGAAATTACTGTAAGCTTAAATTAATGTCTAGCTGTGATTTTGAGTAGATCAAGACCTTAGGCTTCATGGATGATGAGTAATTCCTCCTCATGACCCATGTGCACTACAAGTCAATTAGCATGCACCTCTAGTCGTGATTTTGATAAGGCTTCAAGCTGTTAGGGTTGTCCTCTGATTATTGAATTTACGATAAGTTGACTCTTTAATTTAGATGCTGGGATTGTAGGGATGGGAGCTTTTAGGATCTGATTACGAGAGTTTGGATTGATGGCTATTGATCCTGTTCAATTGATATATGTTGGTAATAACCAATTGGAGCCAAGCTGTGGTGATCTAATACTTGAACCTTTTGTGTGGTTTCAAGTTTCAGCAGCTTAATACCATTGTGTTCCCTAGGCTAGTTTCTTCCTTGCTTTGAAGTTGTGAGAAAATATGGAAAAGTGATCTGCTTATGAAGTGTGTCTCAAAGGTTTGACGCTTTCCCATGCAAGTCAAAGGAGAAGTTGCTTTTCACTTCTAGCGCGCTCCATCCTTTCAATTTGAGACAGTTTGCAGCGTGCAGTTTTAACTTGTTTGGTTTGGTTAATGGGTATAGGTTGGATCTTTTACAAGTGCTGCATAAGAACAACATACATTAAGATCAGGTTGTGTGTGAAGTTGTGTTCGGGAAAAAGTAACTAAATGGGAAAAAGACTAAAGTAGGAGTAAAACATTGAAAATATACCAATAGGAGCTCCATGCTTTTATTCCCAAAATAGGAGTTAAAATGCATTTACATCAATCATGACCATGTACATTACATAAAATGCACATGTAGAGTGCCACATTACCACAATGCGGACTCCTATTTAGGGAATAAAAACATGGAACTTCTATTTTGGTACTTTCTCTATGTTTTAGTCCTATTTAGGGTGATTTCTTTAACTAAATTACTTGGGGACAATTTTCTCTCTCTGAAAATAGCATCAACAACCTACCCACTAAAAATTACACAAGTGGAGCATTGGGGATGTGGATGCGGGGGCGGGTATACAAAGAACTTATCCCTAAATTCCCTACCTAGAAAAGGTAGAGAGATTGTTTTCAAAAGATGCCCGGCTCAAACACCAAGTATCTAGGCTCTTACAATTCGACAAGGTAAACCAAAAAGAGAGATAACAAAGGTCACCAGGAAAATATTTCACTATGCCTAACTAATCTTGAAAGCCCTGCACGCACAGAGAACTACTTCTATCTACAACTTTAATCCTTCACCTCCAGTCATATCTCTGATGAGTGCTGCAAGTTGCTAGCTCAGTCTACCCCTCTTCAAATTCTACACTTCAGCCTCTCAGACATCTTCACAGGAGCATCCTTAGCATGTGCCCAAACCATATCAATCTACTTTTGTGCATCCTTATCCTCTATAGATACTCCCACAATTTTCACGGAATCCTTGTTCCCAACTCTATCCATCCTTGCACATCAATTTTAGCATTGTCTCTGAGAATAAAAATGACAAGAATTAAAATTTATTGGTAGGCATAGTAATATGATATACGGTTTTATTCTTTTAGAGAACAACTAGTTCAGAGATACAGTTACTACAAACTTTTCCCTTTACATTATTTTTCCAGTGCACCCCTTTCATATTGAATCTTCTGTTGTTTCATTAAAGAAAACTCAATTTTGATTTTTTGTTTTGTAGATACTTTCTCCAAACCAGCATCTGGCTCTGATGTGCCCCAGCAGAGTGGCTGGTTAAGTGCTTTCACTGTTGCTGCTTACAAACCCTATTTTGATGTTGACACATCTGATGTTTTAGAAAGGATAAAAGATTCACTCATTCCTTTTGGTGGAGCCTTTACTGAGAAAACTTCGAGTAGCCCAGATTTGTATGTTGCCACTGCCATGAACTTTTGTTTGTTTATTCAATTATTCTCAGCCCAGCTATTCATTATTCTATCATTCTTTAGTCATATAAGTTGCACCTCTAAGGCTCTAACTGATACACATAACTTGCTAGTCTGTGATACTTTGCATATGTAGCAAATTTAATAGTTTGTGATAATTCTGATCGCATTATTCATTTTACTCATCCAGTATAGGTGGCCATGCTCCTGTGCTTTATTTTGATACCAGATTTGTGGACATTTTTGCTTCTCGTAATTAGTGTATGCTATATCTTATGCTCTACTGGATGGGAAAACAGAGGCTTGTCTCTATAAATTTATTATGCCTTGCATCTGATTATCTGAATTATGGTCCCATTTTATAATCAAACACTTGTGGTTATGTGCTTTGCTGAAACTTTATAGCATCTAAATTTATAGACGACCTGATTTGTGATGTTAACTAATTACTAGTCCTTTTTCGTGAGTCATTAAGAATGGACAGTCGGTTAAGTAGTAGATGATGTAATTTAAGAAACACAAACATATTTTAATAAAATTTGAATGATAAAAAATCTTTAATTATGATGGATGGTGGTGATTGGTGGTGGACCGATTCAGTCCGAAGTAAGGTGGAAGCCAAGAAGGTGGCATATTTGAGGTACATGGGCTGCAATGTTGAGGAGGAAAGAGCGGCGTTACGAGTAGAGTACAAGAAGGCACGTAAAGAAGCTAAGTTAGAGGTTACGAGGGCAAAGAATGCCGCTTTTGAACGCCTCTACAAGGATATTGAGGAGAAAGGCGGTGTTAATCCAATGTTCCAGCTTGCTAAGGTGCGTGAGAGGAAGGCTTGAGATCTGGACCACGTGAGATGCGTGAAGGGCAGCGATGGTAGATTGTTAGTTGAGACTCCCAAGGTGGCTAAGCGTTGGGGGGAGTACTTTTGTGAACTCTTAAATGCGGGAGGAGACCAGAGGCTAGTTCTTGATGATCTGGGGCAGTCCGGGGCGCCTCGTGTGTATTGTCGACGCATTTGCCTGGAAGAGGTGGCTCGGGCTCTCCGCGGGATGCGTAGTGGGAGAGCTTTGGGACCATATGAGATTCCGGTGGAGTTTTGGAAGCATGCGGGTCGTGGTGCGTGGGTTTGGTAAACCAAACTCTTCAATGTTATCTTCCGGACAGCAAGGATGCCCGATGAGTGGAGGTAGAGTCTCTTGGTCCCTCTGTTTAAAGGAAAAAGTGACATTCAGAGCTGCGAGAATTACACAGGCATCAAACTGCTTAGCCACACCATGAAGGTTTGGGAGCTAGTCATTGAGTATAGGGTGCGGAAAGGGGTTAGCATCTCTGAGAACCAGTTTGGTTTCATGCCTGGCAGATCGACTACAGAGACCATTCACCTCGTGAGGAGATTAATGGAAGAGTATATGGCTAGGAAGAAGGACCTTCATATGGTGTTTATTGATCTTAAGAAGGCGTACGATAGGGTGCCAAGGGAGGTCTTATGGAGGTGCCTTGAGACCAGAGGAGTTCCCATCGCGTACACTCGCGCGATCAAGGATATGTACGATGGGGCTATGACTAGGGTAAGGACCTCCAGGGGCGACTCTGAGTCATTCTCGGTAGGGATGGGGTTGCACCAGGGGTCTGCCCTTAGCCCTTTTTTGTTTGCCTTGGTGATGGACGTCCTAACTCAAGGTGTTCAAGAAGGGGTCCCATGGTGCATGCTTTTCGCGGATGATATTGTGCTTATCGACGACACACGTGAGGGACTAAACGATAAGTTGGAACTATGACGTTTTGCCCTTGAGACTAAAGGATTTAGAATAAGTAGGAACTAGACTGAATACATGGAATGTCGTTTCAGCGGTCGGGAAACAGAATCAGAAGTGGATGTTAGGATTGACTCTCACCTAGTACCTAAGGTAGACAGGTTTCGATATCTTGGCTTGGTAATCCAGGCTGATAGGGAGTTAGACGGGGATGTTGGACATCGTGTTGGAGTGGCTTGGGCCAAATGGCGGTTGGCTTCAGGGGTGTTGTGTGATCCGAAGATTTCGCACAGGATGAAAGGTAAGTTCTACCGATCCGTAGTCAGACCTGCTATGTTATATTGGGCAGAGTGTTGGACGGTTAAGAAGACTCATGTGCGTCGTCTGCATGCGGCGGAGATGCGGATGTTACGATGGATGAGTGGGATGACAAGGTGGGATAGGATTTCGAACGAAGTTATCCGACCTCAGGTAGGCATGGTGCCGGTGGAAGATAAGTTGTGGGAAGCGAGGTTGAGATGATTTGGTCATGTGAGACGGTGGGATGTTGACGCCCCTGTACGGAGATGCGAGAGGATTACGGTTATCGGGGGAAGTAGGGGAAGGGGTAGACCTAGGAAGAATTGGAAGAAGGTGATTAGGCAGGATATAGGACTTCTCACCCTGACTGAGGATATGGCTTTAGATAGGAACCTTTGGAGAACTAGGATTAGAGTAGCTGGATAGGAGCTCGGTACTGCAGAGGTTTTTTGTAGTGTGTTGTGTTTGATTGGAATCTCTTGCTATTGCTTGCAGAACTTTCATTTTATTGTACTTGGTGCTTTATCCGTGTTATACTGTGTTCCCTACCATATTTGTTGTGCAGGTTGAGCCGGGGGTCTCTTGGAAACAGCCTCCCTACTTCCGAGTAGGGGCAAGGTCTGCGTACACACACTCTCCCCAGACCCTACTGTAGTGGGATTCAACTGGGTTGTTGTTGTTGTATGATGAATGTTTTTAAAAATGACAATATTGCCCTCACGCCAATATCTTGTTTCTTTCAGGTATGGACCATTCTGGATATGCACTACACTAATATTTGTGGCAGCTGCCATTGGGACATTTGTTACATATTTAGCCCACAAGATCCAGAACAAAGAATGGGACTATGACATCAATCTGGTGACTTGGTCTGCATGTGTATTCTATGGATATGTGTTTATAGTCCCTCTCTGCTTATATGTTGTACTCAAGTACTTATCTGCCCCAGCCAGCCTCGTCCAGCTGTTCTGTCTTTATGGATATTCCCTATTTGTCTTCATCCCTACATTGGTAAGTGTACATTTTCCTAAACTGCTCCAATCTGTCTTTATGGATATTCCCCATTTTCTTCATCTCTCTGCATCCGGAAATCTTTGCTACTTAATAATTTTGAATGTCCCGTATTGTACATTAGGTCTACATTTACTTTTCCAATTTTTATGCCATCACGGTTTTTATGTACAATTATTTTTGCTTATTTGAAAAAAAATGAATCAGAATTGGTTGGTAAGTAATTATTTGAATGTACTCCGTATTATATTTGTGATTATCAAGGATTTCGCAGAATCTTATTAAGGATTGTCATACTTAACTCATGCTATTCCAATCCCATAATTTTCTTCTTGTTTTTCTTTTAAAGAAAGAATTGTGTGGCTGGTATTTTCCCTCTCCTTTCTATATTGTTTTTTTAAAAAAATACCAAGTCAAACCCAAAAGAAAACTATGGGGTCAGAGGGAGTGTCACCATTTAAGTCAAGCGAGGTGATGATAACCAATGCTCATCTTGTTCTTGTTGCAGTGCCTCTCAGTCGTCCCAATTGAAATATTCAGATGGGTGGTTGTTGGTGTCGCTGGGTTCATGTCTGCTACCTTTGTCGCCCTTAATCTCAGGGCGCACATCGTTTCAGCTGGGGAGAGGTGGTTCTTGATTGTGGCTGGTATCTTTTTGTTGCAGCTTGCCCTTTCTTTGGTCCTAAAGCTGTACTTGTTCAACTTCACCGTATAAATAGCTCACTCGCTCCCTCACTCCACCACCAACTGTAGTTAAAAGAGGCGCGTTAGTGTTGTATCAACCAAATGGGATTGCTATACGCCTATACGTCGTTAAGACAATTGCATTGGTTCAATTTTAATTATGCACATTATTATACAACAATAGTCCTTCATTCAGTAAAAACATTGTCACCTCCATAGCAGGACAGAGGCTGTTTTGTTAAGTTGCTATTGTTGCTGAGGAATTTTGAATTTTTGGTGTTTGTTTGTGATCATGTTTGTAAAATTACACATAAAGGCTCACAAAGGTACAAATATGGAATCTAAATTTGCATTGTGCATCTTCTCACTCTTACATACTGCGTATTACCATCATGGGTAGGTGTCTACTATTTCTACCATACATCTTAGGTGCAAGAAATTATCTTTTTAAATGCATCTTCTACTAAAAGTCATATGAGACGAATTATATTATATTGAGAAAATTCTTGGGTATTCGCGTCGAGGATATGTGGAATCATTGTCTTACTTCAAATTAAGACGATGAAAGTAGAGAACACATCATTTTTTATGGGTTTGCACATGGAAATTGGAAACAATACTTCAAGTCGGCTAGGATGGGGTTACATATCAAATCTTTTATAGGATTTATTATTTATAGTAATACCGAGTATTTATTAATGGTCATGATATATGAGTAGTATTTCTTCTCATTTCAAGTTGTGAAATAATACCTAATCAAGTTGTGAAAATTAAAGACGTAAATGTATGGTGTTTTTTCTCATTTCAAGAGACTAATTATGGCACGATATACTGTTAACGATAACACATTAATAATAAGACCTGGCAATTAGTTCGTTGAATCTCTTTAACCGATCTAAGCTATTAGATTGTGCGCTATTTGTATCCTAATTTTTCATACCAAGTATATCACAGACACACACATGTAACAATTGTCTGTGTGATGCAAGTCATTTATTGCCCGTGTGTTTGTAATACACTTAGGGTTTGTTCTCTTCACATGATCTGATTTGGCATAATCAGAACTAATTGTATTTTTATTTAAAATTATTTCTGATGTGATCTGGTCTGATATGATTTCGATAAAAATAATTAAAAAATACTACGTAATACTCCAAGTTGGTGTGTCCTAGACTTTTTTCCAAAGCTTTTAACCTTTTGCCTAATTAATTACTTCGTGCCTTTTTTCACCTGCAAGTCTAGTTAGATTTTCAGAGTATAACACCATAGTGTTCAAGAAACAGAAATAAATTCGATCCACCAAAGCATTCTATGGCAATCAATCCAGAAACGCAAAGCGAGATAGAGAGGGAAAGAGAGCTGTTGATTCGGAGCGAAGGCCACCATGAACAATGCCATAACTTTAAGAATTACCACTCTCCGATTCTCCTCCCCATTGAATCTTTCTCTCCAATTCCCCTTTATTCCCCAGAAAGTCCCTAACCATCTCAACCCCTTCACGAGAAAACGATCGAGGGCTCCAAAGATACTAGCTTTCTGCGCCGCGACAAGTTCGGAATCGCTGAGTTGTGGTGGTTGGGATACCCCTCAACTCGCTGGCGACTCAGTCGGCTCAGGTGAGTCCAACCATCTTCACAGCCTTCTGAACTCGCTTGGAATTAATGACAGAAAATATGTCTTTGTTTATGTGTTGGGGTTCGTATGTGCTTTGGCCATTTCTAGGGTCAAAGTTTCATCATTTATTGCTCTCCCAGCTTGTATGATGGTATTTGTTCTTGGGTTTACAACTGGGCTTGTCAATGGAGGTAAGATGAGCTCAAGTGGGACTAAGAAGATGCCCGAAGACGATGTTATTGGAGTTCCTTTTGAAAAATTGAACTTTTTGGTAGAATCCATTAATGGGTTTGGGGCTAAGATTCTGGATTTGAAGAATGATGTTAAGAAAGGGATTGAATGCAATCATATTACAGTGGGTGATCTTGAAAATTTTGTCAACAGTTTAGAATCTGCTAATTCATCTGCTGTTAATGCCAAAAGTATCATTGATGACCTGGAAATGGGGAGAAGCTCAAATCAAAAGCCGAGCAGACAAAAGAAAGATCCAGGAGAGAATCAATATAGTTTCACTCAGTTCTTTGCCGGTTTGTTTCAGGAAAAACCAGATATAAAGCATAATAGATTGAAAAGTTTCAAAGATGATAATAATGACTTAATGGATGGGAACATATTGGGTGCATCTTCTACTAAGGATAGAAACATAAACAATATTTTAACTCAAAAAGATGGAAGTTTTGATCGGAGTTCAAACCGTACGTCTTTCAGCCATGTCAAAGCGAGTAGATCAAACACATTTGCTGATGAGAATGCATATTCGCCTGAAATGGATTATACTGTCCAATCAGTTATTGGAAGGCAACAACAGTATGGGTATAGGACTAACCGTACCCATTACATGCGGAACGAGAAAATCTCTCTAAAGAACAATGGTTATCTGAATGGAAGTGGGATTTGGACATCTGGTGGGTTCTTGAACAACTCTATGGAGTTTACTGAAACAGTCTCTTCGTTCCAGAAAGGCCAAGAGGTCAACGAACTAGAACAAAACTATAGCATGTTTGATGGGCCAAAGAGGGATGACAAAGAAGAAGATTGTAGTTCAGATGATATGAGCTTCGATAAGTGCATCTCTGAAGCTAATATCCTACTGAAAGAAGCTAAGGGTTGCTCAAAGAAGAAAGGTAATGATAAGATTGCAGAAGATGCATTCCGAAAATCAGCTGTTATACTTTCAAAAGCCACACACATTAGACCTATGAGTTTATTGGCTGCGGGGTTGTTGGGAAACACATACCTTCTTCACGGAGAGCTAAAACTGAGGACTAGTCGTGACTTGAGAATGCTACTCACAAGAACGAATGTGCAAAATGAGGAAGTTGGGAGGAAAGAGGAAATTGTGTCTAATCTTTTTAATGTGTGTGAAGAGTGTGAAGAACTGCTGGTTAATGCAGGAAGACAGTATAAGCTGGCTTTATCAATCGATGGGAATGATATGAGAGCATTGTATAACTGGGGTCTTGCTCTCTCTTTCCGTGCACAGTTGATTTCAGACATAGGACCGGTAATTAAACACTCTACTATTCTAGTTTCAGGCATCATTATGCCTAATGGAGCTAAAACAGCCATCATTGACATTCTTTTAGTTTTGGGCATATAATGGACTAAATAAAACAGGCATGCATTTCAAACTTCCCTTGCTTCTCACACTCAATATGAAGTTTTGTTTAGTACGTGCTTACATTATCTAAGATCTAATGCTTTGTTTGACCCCCAAACCTCAACATAGTTGGGATTATACTGGGGTTGTTGTATTCTAGCAACATCGTTTGTTCCCCTTCATTCTGCTCAAGCATTTTATACCATTTAAAGACAGAAGTTGACTGTGAGACACACACTCAAATTGCAGGGTGCTGTGCGTGATGCCGACAAGGTGTTCCTGGCTGCAATTGATAAATTTGACGCCATGATGTCTAAAAGCAATGAATATGCACCTGACGGTATGTATAGAACTTTTATTCAGCATTCCAAAACCTAGTTTATATGTGATTCGTTTGTCAATGGTTAATTCTGCTCACATTTGCCTTTCCTTTAAAGGAAACTTCGAAGTACGTTGTATTGTTTGTTTAGGAAAAAATGGACCAGGACTTCATTTGGGAATCGGCAATCCGGGGGGGTTGGGGGGATTTGGGGGTAATAACAATCAATTTTATGGTTCAATGTCAAAAGAAACTAGTCCTATGTTATTATGTTAGTACGAATACCCTTGTCAATCACATGGCAAACCTTTTTCAAATTTTAAAGTAAGCAAATTTTTGAAAGGAAACAATAAAGGCGTGTTTAGTTTGTGGGGAGGAAAGGGAAACATAAAGCTCACCATGCTGCTAAAGTCCTAATGCTTCCTTCAAACCAAATGAGGGGAGAGAAGTCTTTTCTCTCCATCTCCAACCAAACACACCCTAAGACAAGGAATGAAAAAATTGTTCCTTTTTGAGTTGATATAAGAAATAGAATAATGCTAGGGGTACACTAAAATGGGGTACCCCATTTGTACACCAAGCAAAAAAAAGACACACACAAATGTCTGTGCACACACAGACATTGAGTGTGCGGGTTCTGCTAGGGGTAGACAAAGATTTGTACTCCACTTGTACACCAAGTGTATCATAGACACACACAGACACCGATTGTCGGTGCATATGTCATACACTTGGCGTACAAGTGGTGTAGACCAAGCTTTATTGAAGAAATATATCTACGGATTCTGATGAGAAGCTGGGTAAGATGGATGCAGCACTGTTCAGGTGGGGTGCGGCTTTACAAGAGAGATCCCGGCTGCGCCCCAGACGAAGTAGAGAAAAGGTTAGGCTGTTGCAGCAGGCTAGAAGGCTATATGAAGATGCACTCGGTATGGACTCGGGGAATCTACACCTTCAAAAGGCCTTGTCATCCTGCATATCCGAGCTCAACTGGTTCAATTAAACATTCACAATGCTTTCTCTTACACCCTCCGCCCGTTAAAGAACACATTTGTTTCTTTACGGAGTTTAAGAAAAAGTGAAATTGTGCAGTGCAGAAAAGGTACGAATAAACCGAACCACTCTTTTCTTTACTTTCCCTAAATGGAATGAGAGCTTTATGGAATACTTAAAAGATGAGAGTATGAGAGTAAGACATTCTTTTAAGAGCGAAGGGAGTATTTGCTGCCTTTTTGAATATATATTTTTTCTTCTCTACCATCTTATTTCTTTGCTTCTTTTAATACAAAATTTCTCTTATGAGAGTATAATAAATAATCAATGTGTAGCTAGCGGATTTAGTTGAGAAAATAAAAAGGACATTTTATTTAGTACTTCTTCTGTTGCATTTCACCTATCTTACTACATTCATTGGCCTAATTGCTTCTGTGTTATGCACTCATTTTCTTTTATGCACATTGCATTTAAATTTAATGTGTCATTTTTGTTCAAGTCATTATTCTTCTGAAGGTATGAAATGACTCTTTTAGTTTCATTTCAATGTTGTTCAGGAATTCATTTGAAGACATTTAATCTTGTTTTGTACGAGTGCTACATATAAACGTCTGGCTTGTCTACGTGATATCTCATCGAATAACGATTCACTTTCCTGAATTTATTATTATTGTTATTATTATTATTATTATTATTATTATTATTATTATTATTATTATTATTATTATTATTATTATTATTATTATTATTATTATTATTATTACTACCTCCGTCCCATTTTATAACGCTTGTTTCAGTTTACGATGTTTGATTGAAATTATTTTCAAAGCATTTTATATGACAAATGGTATAGAATTAAAAAATAAAAATTACATATTAAAAAACTACATCAAAAGATCTACAAAACTAGTAGTGACAATAATATTTTATTTTATCAAATTGCTAACGAAAATAGAGAAAGAAAGTGAATGAAGTTTGACCCTGTGAATAGTAAACAAGCATTATAATTTGGGACGGAGGGAGTATTATTATTATTATTATTATTATTATTATTATTACTCAATACTCCGAGGTATTCTTGTATAAACTTTCAGGATAGTGATATTAATTTTATTTTTCTTAAAATTTCACCATTTTTTGGCTTTGGGGTGTGATGGAATAAATCAAAATGGATCTCTAAATTGTCTGCGCTTCTTTAATTAATGAAGTAGCAGTTAGTCAAGCTATGCAACTTTCGACGTTGAGTCGGGGGTCTCTTTGGAAACAGCCTCTCTACTTTCGAGTAGAGGTAAGGTCTGCGTACACACACCCTCCCCAGACCCTATTCTTGTGGAATTTAATTGGGTTGTTGTTGTTTTCTTACAATCTCGCAAAGAAACAAAAAAAGAAAATTATGTCCTCCTAAAATAAAAGATTCTCGGCTGTCAACAGACTAATAGCTCACTGGGACCGCCAATAAAGTGATAAACAAAGAGAGAGTCGCAAAAAAACAGCCGTCAATCACACCATTTGTTCCTATTGAGAACAACTAAAAGCCACCAAAAGAGCTTTCATTGTCAACTCGCCATCCAATGTCCCGTGCAACTTAAGAAAATAGTGTTCAAATTTGAGGTTTTTTCATTTATTTACTCTGTCCAGAGAAAACAGTTGTTAACGTGGCCTATTTGGGAATATCTTTAGAGATTAGCGTTAGCGTTTTAGATAAAATTTTAACGATACAAATTACGTTGAAAATGCTAACCCTAAACGCTACTCGTAAATAGTCTTTTAAAATCGCTAACGCTAATCCTTAACGTTATTCCCAAAGAGACGCATTGAGAATGTAAAGACATATTTCCTCTCTTTGGCATTAATGTTTATTTAAAAACTTTTGATGTTAGTTTTTCAAAGTTCATTTGAACCAATAATAAATTATTGAAAACGGTAAAGCTACTTGTAGACATTGTTCTCATTTCTCAAACACAAATTATTATTACTGTATTAAAGAATATTCGGTGAACAAAAAAGATACAAATAGTTGTACAATATTTTTAGGTTCGAGAAGAAACTTCACAAATGGTTGCTATGGTTTCTACCTGGCTTGGGTTTAGGCAGAGGGTTGGCAATGCTCCGGAAAACCCTCAGCATCTCCTTGTAAGTAACAATCCCAACCAGACTCTGGTCCTCCTGAATCACCCAAATGGAGCTCGCCCGGTGTGCCAGCGCTTGGATCATGACCGCCACCAGCGAGCTCCACGGGTAACAAGTGATCGCCTCCGATCTCCTCAAACAGTAGTAGTTCCCGGACCCGCTGCTCTTGCTCAGCAACGACTCGTCGTCCGAAGAACAGCTAGAAGCAGAAGATGACGATATGGAAGAAACCGAGTATTCCTCCTCCATCACCCCCCCAAGCAGCGCGCCGAGATTCCTCTCCCCCGCCCTCTGCTTCACCAGCTCGACCAAGTCCTCGGTGGGTCCACCACAGTCGATGTACGCCATGAGATCGCCGGCCGAGAGAGTCATCACGGCGGCAGCAACCGTCTCGTCGCAGTAGGAGAGGGTGGACGGAGAGATCTCGCCGATCAACCTGGTGTCGTCGTCTACGACGGCGATCGAGGTTTGCTGGATGTGGGCCCGGGTAACGGAGCTCAAGGCGTTGGCTGCAGGTTCGTGGTATGGGATGGTCATGGTGTCGTCGCGAGAGATGATGCCGAGGGACTCGATCGTGAAGGTTGGCAATGGCGAAAAGACACCAATGGAGTTGAGAAGGAAACGGACCACGTCTTCCTGCGTCAGCCAGCAGTACTCGACGCCGTGGTGGTTCGAGGAGGAACTCAAATGCTGCTTTCTCCTCGAATGGCTGCTCGAGTAGCTCTGCTGTATTGGTATGATTAGGTTTTGAGTGCCTTCAAGAATGCAATCTATGGCCTCCAGCAAGCTGCACATAGAAGATTCAATGTGAAATTTTAAAATTAGAGGAGAAAAATCTTGAGCATTTCAATTCAAATCAGATCTTTTATGCAAAACAGAGATATTAAATGCTCCCTCTCATATATATGAAAGGTTGGTTCTAGGAAACAAAACTGATCAGAAAGTGTACCAATATGTAGCACAATCATTAGCTTTCTACGATTGAGGACAAATTTTGATGACAAGAATTCAAGACGGGAAAGATAAGACAGCAAAATCAGCCTATATGGATTATAGAATGCACTTCATTGTACGAATTATTATCAGATTCAGCACACAACAAATCAATCAATCACTAAATTGCAGAATCAAATGAAGAAGAAGAAGAAGAAAACCTGGAATCGGGCTCCATATGCCGGACAATAGGGACGCCTTTGGGCAAAATCTCAGAAACCGGAGCTTCCAAAGCCTCGGAAACCTTCCCCAAATTCTCCTCCTTGCACAGATAACAAATCACATCAACCATACAGATCTTCCCGACACAGCGGCAATCTTCTCCCTCCGGAACCTCCCTAGAGTGATCGGAGCACCTCCATACGCTCACGTGGGCCTCGCCGGACCTTTTCAACGCCGCCACAGCCTCCGCTATGCTGGACGCCTCCTTCACGGGCCGCAGCACCGGTTTCCCCAAGCACAGATCTGACAGCTCCTGGTTCAGAAATCTAACTGCCATGCAAGAACAGATGCTCCCGAGAGAGAGAGAGAGAGAGAGAGAGGGAGAGGGAGAGGATCGAGCTAAAAATGTCAGAGAGAGAGAGAGATGACGGAAGATGAATTTTGCCGAAAATAACGCTGGAGCAGGAGACTGGAAAAGAAAAATCGAGAGGTCAATTTTATAAGGAAAAGGATCACGTGGTCGTACCACGACATAATGTTACTCATCTATGCGCTGGCATCATCCGGCCCCACTTTCCTTTGACTAATATTGTCAGGATTCAAATTCAAATCTAATCACTTATAACTTGAGGTGTACAAATAACGGATCAGACTCAGAACTCGAATTCAAGTAGACTCCTCATGGCTAGAGGTTTACAAATAACGGATTAGTCATGAAAATTGGACTGGATCGAATAACTTGTTTCGGGTGGAATCGGTTTCCAATCAGCTCGGGTTCAGGTCCACACTTTTAGGCCGGTAACATTCTAGTCCTTTCCGATTCAAAACCAAAATTTTACCGAGTTAGACTGATAAACCAGATTTCAACCCGTTCTAGATTTTTAGCCATTTTCCCAATTTTACTTTGACCCAATAATCTAATTTCTTTTTTTTACAAAGAAACATAAAATCTATCACCAAAATAGTGTAGCCCCTGCATTGAGCATTGCCATCGGGGGTACCTAGTGTAGTGTGTGTCACTAGAGATGCACCCCGAGAATTCTTCCCAAGTCTAGACTTGAGATGAATGACACAACCCCGACTTGCACTAACAAAGCTACAATGTAAATTGAACCAGGCTTAACAGGTAGTATCAAGATTAGAGATGAGAGCTTGAATGGTGTCGGAGCAACTTCTATATAGTGTTTCTATCAACTGATAATTGTATGATTGATTGAGTAGTTTGAAAATATATACAGAATTAGAGTTCAATTCTCATCAAAATCTAGATTGGGCATAAGTAAGGCCTCCTTTCTAAAGGACACAAAAGCCAAATGCAGGAATGGAAGAGTATATAATAACATTATATCGTACTTCCTTCGTTCTAGAGTATTTGTTTAATTTTGATTTAGATCGATATTTGACATATAATAAAAAGAACATGGTATATTAATTAGATAAAATAATATTTTACAACATATATCTAATAAATTTTTTCTTATATCAATTTCTAATATAAATTTTTTTATTTAAAATTCATTTTTTTAAAATCTTGATTGAAAAAAGTTAAAACTGAAGAAATACTCTGAAACGAAAATAGTACATCTAAATACTCTCTACGTTCCAAAGAAATATTACACCCTTCACTTTTAAAAAGTCACAAGAACTTTTGTCTATTTGTGCGTTTTGATTTAATATTTGATAAAATAAAATAATTTTGTCATCTTTTGTTTTGTAGATTTTCTTTTACATAAAGGGGGTTTCTCTGTGCTCGTACTTATTGGCTTATTTCTGAAAAGCAATTTTCAACTTATAGACTGCTTACAAGTTAAATATTCTTTCATAGAAGTAAAATTACTTAAATGATAGATAAGTCACTTGGAATTGAAGTACTCATAAATGGTGAGAGACAGTTTTATAAATAATCTGGTTAAAACGGAGAAACGGAAAAATTGATTTAAAAATAAGTGGCTAAGACCTATTTATTTTTTCTAGCTTTTAAGCAACTTATAAGTCAGCGTATTAGTATACAAAAACATGTCATCAACTGACTTATAAGTTAAAAACTGCTTATAAGCAGTTTTGATCAACTTATAAACACATAAAAACACTCATATAGTTTTAAATATGTAAATTATACTTTAAATTTTTATACTAATCTTTAATGTTTAAATAAAATAAATTAAAAGAACTTAAATTTTTATTTTATATATTGCTTAAAGTGTAAAAACATTTAGAGCGGAGGGGTATATGATATACATCATCTTTTTTAAATGTTATTGACTCTATTATAAGGTAGTATCTGTTCATATTATTCTCAACTTGATGTATAAAGAGCCAATAATGCTTCTAACTCCGTTGAGGCTTGAACTTGGGTGAACTTTTCCATGAATCTTGGGAAATTGGCTTGCTACCACTCAAGCCAGAAGAGAAGTTCTTATATAGATCATCTAAAACATAAAGAAAGATGAATTTCTTGTAGGACGAAAGGTAGTTAAAACTTAAAAACTTAAGATGAATTTAATATAAGTCCGTATAATCAATGTTTTGAAAACCGGACCGGACATCGAACCGGACAAGCCACTGGGTCAAGAGTCAACCGGTCGAACCGGGTTGACTCGGGTCAACGACCCATTACTTGGTATATAATATTCATATTTATGTTTAGATAATAAAAAAATTAAATAATACCATATTTTGTGAACTAGTTTTAAAGATAATAAAATATTATTACATAACTTAAATATGCATATTATTTCAAAATAATACGAAGCACATACTCCCTCTGTCTAACTTTAATCTTTCCATTTGAATCGGACACACATATTAAAGAAAGATGTAAATGTTATTGTCGATGTTAAATAAAATATTTAAAATTGCATTTTTTTCTTCTTTATGTTATTTTCAATGTCATTGTTCATATACTCTTTCACACTTTCCATATTTTATTATAATTAGTATATATTTCTTCATTTTATAGATGATAATATTTTTTTAGATATAAATTATTCATTACTATTTAATACAAAAAATAATTTTTTTTACTTTGAAATATTTTAAAAGATTATAAAATAATCACACAACACAAACATGATCTTTCTTACAAATAGTTAGAAGTTTTCTTAATTCACTCAACATAAATAAAAAACACTATATATACTATTCTGCATGACTTTGTTAACAAGAGTTGAGTAGTTTAAGTGGTTATAGACTTGGAGAATTATATGGTGAGGCCTAGTATTCAAATCCTAGCTCCATCATTTTATTTTGTAGGCAAAAAAAAAAATTTAGAAAGAAACCCGCGAGTCGGCCGGGTCGACCCAGTTCACCGGTTCCGCCGGGTCTACCGTGTCTGGGCGGATCGATGCTGATCCGGGTTTTACATTTGAACCGGACCGGATTCCTCACCGGTTCGCGGTCCGACCAGTTGGACCGGCCGGTCCGGTTCTAATAACATTGCGTATAATGGCACCAAGCCGGCAAGCAAGCTTGGTCATAATCAGTGGCTAAGTGCAAATACTTTTTCTCATACCCGTAAGCCGTACGTACATCCTACCGCGTCCGGTGTACGACAATGGCATTATTAATTAATGGACCACGCTTGCTTTCTATTCTTCAATAGAATTCGATTCCTGGCAAAGCAAGAAGTGTTACTAACACCCGAGTTGGATTCCTTTCAATTGTGCTCGAATACAACAAGCATAAGGCGGACCAAGTGCAGGCTCTACTCCTTTCCACCAATCTGTGATAAAAGTTCAATTTAGCTCCTCGCAGTGACTGTCCGGCCGGGTTTAAAGGGCCCTCGGGGATGGGGCTCATCCTTTTTTTCAATAAATTCGTTTTAAAATATTAAATATTTATAGTCTTTTCATGTCTAAATAAATTATACTTTACGCAAAACAAAGTAAATGTTTAAGTTTTTTCAATTCATTTTATTTAAAGATTGATATATAAATAAAAAAATTTATATATTTAAAAAATAATATCAAAGTTCTATAAAACAAGAGACGACAAAATTATTTTATTTCGTCAAATAATCAATGAAGGCACACAAAATAAACCAAAATTCCCTAAATTTTTGAATAATGAAGAAAGTAAATTTTTGTGGGACGGAAGGAGTTTTATATATATATATATATATAAAGTCAAATGGAAAAATTCAAAAATAATAGAGGGAGTAGTAGAATGAGGGGTTCTTATACACGGAAATTGTGTTAACTCTGTGTTTCGCACAACAAGTTTCGTTATTCTATAAATATAACTTGATTTTAATTTTATAATAGATTAATAATAATTATAGTATCAGAACTCCAATAATAATAATAATAATAATAATAATAATAATAATATAATTTGTGTTATATGATTATTGTGAAGTATCTAACAACGGAGTATAAAATATATTCCTTTTAAAGATAAAAAGTTTGCTAAAAATGAGGTACATACATTAAAATTTTTATAAATATTTGTTCTTGAAAACAAATAAAAGAGAAGTTTTTTATTCGGGTCAGCTGCTGAATATTAAAAAATCAGACATTACTTTTAGCCGAAATACCTCGAAGGAGGACAGAGAGGTTGTTATGCGGAAACTGTGGGCGTAGGAAGCAGTAACTACAGGGAAATATCTTGGACTGCCTTCGGTGGTAGGTAGGAATAAAAAGGAGATTTTCCAACTCATTCACGACCGTGTTTAGAGTAAAATTCAAGGCTGGAAAATCAAGACGGTTATCATTAGGGAAAGAGGCGTTGTGCTTATCAAGACGGTTATTCAATCAATCTCGACGTATGTGATGACAATGTTTCAGATTCCGGCAACCATCTATGATACAATTGAGACAACAATCAATAAGGTCCCGTTTGGTACATAGAATTCAAACTATGGAATTGGAATTGGAGACTTCAATTTCAATTATGGTGTTTGGTAGCACAAAAATTATGTAGATTTGGAATTGATAGTGCAGAAAATGAATTGAAATTGACAGAATTCAATTATATGGAATTGAATCCCATGGAATTTCAATTCCAATTCAATTCCAATTCCACAAATTTCTTATACCAAACGGACCCTAAGTTTTGGTGGAAATTTGGACATGGAGATAGTCGGAGATTAAGCTGGATGTCCTGGAAATGTTTGAGCAAAAACAAGATGGATGGGGGACTGGGCTTCCGACTAATGCACTAAAACGTGTTGGAACCTCTTGACGAGGCCTTACTCACTCGTTCATCAGGTCTTTAAGGCCCGATATTTTCTTGAGAGAAGAGTTCATATTTTGATTTTTGCCAGGTGGTCTATTTTTGTGCCGAGTAATTTGACATTCTAATTATATATTCTTAGCATTAAATGCAAAATGAATAAAGTACTCCGTAGTCCGTATATTACAATACCTTTATTTAGATATTATCCGTATTTGTCATTTTTTTGCAAAAGTGAAAATATTTTGAAAAAAGAACAATGTGCGTACCAAATTACTTTCTCTTTCTCCATATCCTCTACACAAATGAGGATCTCTAGAAGATGGGCAAATTTAAAAGTAAATTTTTTAATTTTATATTACAAATTGTGTAAAGTCAAGTTAAGAAAATTCAAAACACTTAGGTGCAAGAAGTATCTAGCTAGGGGCCTAATGTTAGGGTTGGGATCTGCCCCCTCTCTATCCCGGCCCCCTCCCTCCTCCACTCAAATTTTGACACATAACTCAGCTCATTCTAATTTAACACACATTCACCCCTGAGTGGTGAGATAGAGGGTCATATGTATATAAGTGGGTGAGCGTGTGTTAAACTAGGGCAGAGATATGTTATGTGGTAAAATGTGAGTGGAGGGGGGAGGAGGGACAAGAGAGACGATATATGATCCCAACCCTAATGATAGAACCAAAACCTAATTTGTATCCGGTTCTGTCTCATTTGAAATCAATTCAATCCTATTTAAAGACACCATAAATAATTTTGTATCATTACGTCCTCATATAATATAATTCCATCTTTTAATTTTGCCATCTCTAGAAGTATATATAAGTACTCAAATATTGTCATGTACTCGAAGGGTAACATCAAACTATCAAACTACTCCATATAGTTAAGTAAAATTTGCACTAAATAGGACTAAAACATAATGTCTTTCCCAATGTAGGACTTAAACTTTTTTATTCTCTAAATAGGATTTAATAATGACCTAGTGGGAAGAATAATGTCCAGTAATGATGGACATTTACTTGAATAATGACTACATGATAATGACCAAAAGTCCTACATTGGGAAATAAAAACATATGGTCTTATATTGGGAAAGTCATTATTTTTTAGTTTTATTTAAGCAAATTTCTCTATAGTTAATGGATGAAAAACTAACTTGATACTCCTATATTTTTTTTCTTTTGAGAAAAAGAAAAAAAGTAACGTGATTAAATTAATAGGGAGTACAAAAGTTTAGTCCTAGAAGGATTAGAGTCCTCATAGTCAAAGACTCTCAAAAGATATGTTTTTGGCCCCTGAAGAATTGCATCAGTCGCTGATATTTACATAACCGACCGACTGGAAGCTCATCTCGATCTCATCCGCCGTGCATGATCCACCCGCCCTCTCAAAAAACACAACTTTGGCTTCTTTTCACACCTAAAGAATCCATTAAGATGCCCTCCAGTTTGATCCTTCTATGAAAACTGTGTTTTGTTCCAGAAATACCCATGGGGTTTGTTAATTATTGCGCCGGAGCCACCGCCGCCGCTTCAAGGGAGAGAAAGTCCTTGTACGCTCTTCTTTCTCTCGTCACGATTCTCCTGCTGGCATGCAACGGCGCCATCTCCATATTCTCCCTCCGCCTCCCCTTCCCGCCGAAGACCCCGGCGAGCTTTTCCCCGGAAAACGTAGTCACCGGAAAATCAAGAAGAGCCCTGATCTCCGCGGCATCTCCCCGGAAGCTGTCGCCGTCCTCGCTCATGTACGCTGTGAAACCGGACACCCATTTCCGGTTTTCTCGGAAAAATCGAAACTTGGTGGCCTTCAAGAACACAGCCGCCGCCGCATTGGCGGCGAGAAGGCGAAAGCAGAGATCTTTGACGATCAGAGCCATGGGTTCTGGATATCGATCGAATCCGCAGTTCTCCACAAGAGCGAAGGGATTTTTGCGGGAGAATTCGTGTAAATTAAGGTTCTTCATGACATGGATATCCTCTGTCGAGTCTTTCGGCTCCAGGGAAACATCGGCCATGGAGAGCCTGTTCAGAGCACACCCCACAGGTTGTCTGATCATAGTCTCGAACTCCATCGATTCAGTCAAAGGAAAGAGAAAAATCTTAAAGCCCTTCTTGGAAAAGGGGTTAAAAATCACAGCTTTGGCCCCGGACTTCAACTACCTGTTCAAGAACACCTCAGCACAGGGCTGGTTTGACCGGCTAACGAAGGGGGACGTAAATCCCGGGGAGATTTCCATAGGTCAAAACCTCTCGAACCTTCTCCGACTCGGTTTACTGTACCGGTTCGGAGGGGTTTACGTCGACACGGACGTGATAATACTGAAGAGTTTCTCGGGCCTGAGGAACGTGATCGGGGCCCAGACTATGAATCTGGAGACTGGAAACTGGAGCAGGCTGAACAACGCGGTGATGGTTTTCGACAAGGGGCATCCCCTGGTCAGGAAGTTCATCGAGGAGTTCGCTCTCACCTTCGACGGGAACAAGTGGGGCCACAACGGGCCCTACCTGGTGTCGAGGGTGGTGGCAAGGGAAGGGTGCGGGGGCGCGACGGTTCTGCCCCCGGGGGCGTTTTATCCGGTGGGTTGGGGGAGAATCGGGGGCCTTTTTGAGGGCGGGAGAAACGAGACGCATGTGAACTGGGCGGCGGAGCGGGCGGAGGAGATAAGGATGGGGAGTTATGGGGTGCATTTGTGGAACAAGCAGAGTAGGAGGATGGAGATTGGGGAAGGGAGTATTGTGCAGGTTTTGATGAGGGGTACTTGCGTCTTTTGCAATTCATCTTCTCCGTAACGTTATAATCATGGGTGTACGTACGTACGTGTTTATATATAGGATCGATAGATAAATAAGTAAGCATGCATGGAGGGGGGAGGGATCATATAATAGTGAAATTTGAAATTCTCAGAACTTAAAATTTTTTATTCCCTATATAGAATTTAATAATATCTAGTGAGAAGAATAATGTCCAGTAATGATGAACATTTACTTGAATAATGACTAATTTATAATGACCAAATGTCCTATGTAAGGAAATGAACCATATGATCCTATATTGAGAAAGTCATTATGTTTTAGTCATATTTAGGTAAATTTCTCCATATACATATAATATTCATCTTGCATCTTCATTGGTTATACTTCTGTTTATTCCACCATTTGTTGCTCTCCTCTTTAAATTTGATGTATCCGGAGTAATTGCGTAATAACAATGGGCATTATGGATGTGGCAATTTTTATATAATAAATACAACCTTAACTCCCGTAGTATTTTTTTTAATTAAAGCTGATAAATTTAACGAGTTTTTTGCACCATTTACCATGAAGCTAAGTTTTCAAAAATTACAGCATTCACCACGAACTTTAAAAATTGCACTAATGCCCCTGAATTTTTAAGAATGTTGCACCAACATTCTCTCTGTGTCGGATTTAGGAGTGTGTTCATCACACGCTCATCAATAAACACCTTGGAGCTTGATGACGATGTTACAGATTGATGAAGATGTTGATCGGTTAATGACGAGCGTTATCAACTGATCTCCGTAGGCATATTGACTGACAAGGCATATTGCACTACTCACGTAGAATATATGACTTTAAATGAATTCATACTTGAATTGGATGAACGTGTGATTAACACACTTTCAAATCTGACACAGAGGGACATTGGTGAAACATTTTTAAAAGATCAAGGGTATTGATGCAATTTTTAAAGTTCAGGAGAAATTTGTGCATTTTTTGAAAAGTTCAAGAGTAAATAATGCAAAAATCCTAAATTCAAGCATAATTTAAAATTTTGGTATTAGGTATTGATTAAAAAATTACTCCGCATTTTGTTAGATTCATCATGTGTATATATATATATATATATATATATATATATATATATATATATATATATTCAAAATATTATTCTATCTGATTATTATATTATACTCCCTCCATTCTCAAAAACACTTCATCTTTCATTTTTTCCATTTCCAACAAAACACTTCCCTTTTCTATTAAAAAACCACTTTTACCCTTACTTTTTCATACCCTACCTATCACATCCTACTTTTTCTCTAATAATCTATCCATCACATCTTACTCTTAGCCATCACATAAGGGGCAAAATTAGAAATCAACTATAATTTAACACTTCCTTATTTTTGCCCCAAATCAAAATGGGAAGGGTTTTTCCAAACGGATGGAGTATAATTTTTATTCAATTATTAGTTAAAAGTCGAAAGTGGCCGACTTTGAAAAGTACTCCGTAAAAACTAGACAACTATTCATGAACAGAGGTGGTAAATTATATTTTTAATTTGTAGTCTATTAGAATCTATGCACCCCGAACGTTGAAGAGAAGAGTAGTTGGTATATACTTTATCTAAGTGTCTTGAGTTAAACTAAGTAATCGATTCAATTTAGTCTTTTAATGTGCTTCCATCTAAGTGTCTTAATGTCTCATGACTCAGTCGAGTAACGTAACCCTTACCCCATCCAAAAATTCTATCATGGTATCGGAACCAATTCTAGCTCATCTCGTTTGTTAAGTTGTTCGTCTAGCAAGACGTTCATTCATATTTAGCTTAGTTGGTCTTTAGCTTAGTTGTCTGTGTAAAACGTAAATGCAGTATGTTGCTTGTTTAACCGAATTACTCGTTTGGAAGTCCATATCTAGCAGCTCGTGGTTCTTTAAGCGTTGGCACTCAAAAAAATCAAAAGATGAGAATTCATTTGCAAGTAGTTAACTGATTAGATTCAAAATATGTTTGATTATCCACTTGAGGGATAGTGTTATAATCTATCTCATATCAGAAGTTGAAGAAAAAAAAATAATTGGCATATATATATAAACTCTTGAAGTGAACTAAATAATCGATTTGATTTAATCTTTTAATGTAGTTCAGCCCAACTGTTTTATAACCCAGTCCAGTAACGTAACCCTTACCCCCATTCAAAAGTTCTATCATAGTCTAACTTTAAAATGAAAAAAATCAACCTAAATATGAGTAAAAACATAAAGTACCAAATAATTAGTCTAAAAACGATGTATTTTTAATGTGATAATAATAATAATAGTATTATCTTCATTATTATTATTATTATTATTATTATTATTACAAGTATTGTGGTCATAACTATAGTTTATAAATTATTTCATTTTTTTATTTTTTCCATGTCACTATTTTTAAAATTCATGCTCATTGTTATTTTTTCTTCAATTTTTTAATATAAATAATACAGATTGTTTTGTTTATTAATCCTAATGATAAAATAGGAAAATATCATATTTTAAACTATATTAAAAATTAGGAGTTCTATTTTTTTATTCTCAAAATAGGACTTATAATAAAAATATAATATCAATCATGAAATAGAAAAAATTGATCACATTATAAGGCAAGTCTGATATTTAAAACAAATTTTGTAATATATAAAGTCTAATTACAAATATATTACATAAATAAATATAGGTGCAACGTAAGCAGAATAACTTTTAAAAATTTAATATTTTAATATCCGCTAACTTTATATTCTAGTTAAATTTCTTTTTGCAAAAGTAGATCTTCTTTTGGTTGTATGAAAAATGAGAATACTTTTATTTATCTTAAAGACAATGATTAAGATAACGTGTATATAAATATAATAGTAATAATAATACTCCATCTGTGCTTCATAGATCTTCTCATTAGCCCTTTTTATTTGTCTTACATAAATCTTCTTATTACCTTTTTTAACATTTAAAATACCACAACTACCCCACTTTTTTATTTATTACATCTTTTCCACCTTATTCAATATACCCCACCAATTTTCATTAAGGCTATTTTGGTAAACTTTCACATTTTTTCAACTCTCATTAAAAACTACAAAAAACTCAAAACGAGAAGATCTTAGGGGGACGGAGGGAATAATAAACTACTCCGTATAATACTAAATTAATAATAATGACATTTTTTAAAAATTTATTTAGATTTTCCAAATTTTCCATTTTCATCTATTTTTTTTCAATTTCTTTAAATTTCTTCCCGCATGTAACTTTATTTTTTCATTTATAAAGAACGGGCACTTAAATAACGTGAAAGTGATGGGAAGTAGTAGAAGCAACTACTACTGTACCATTAATATGAAAACAATTGCTCCCTAGTGGAAACTTGAAACTCACAATATACTCAGGGATGCATCTTTTGCTATACACGTCCTTTTTATATAACATTATTTGCAATAAGCATTGGTTGAATTTATTGATTTTTATTTTATAGTGTTAAAAAAAAGCTACATTTAGAAGTTGAGAACTTGAGATTGAATATTTTTTTCACAAAATCTAATACAGATTTCTAAACCCAATAAAGTACAAAATAATTTTTTTCATGCACGTCAAATTCTTACGTGGTCATAAGTTTCACATGCGAAATATGGACTTTGGTGTATACATATCATAAATGAATTGAGCCTTTTGAAAAAATAATCCATTTGCCATGTATATCATTAATATGTGAGAAGACCCACATTTCACATTTGAATCTCAAGAATATGGAAGAACAACTCTACGAGTAACACGTAACCAACAACCAATAGAATTATGCATCGTTTGGTACTCCCTCCGTTCCCATTTAGATTACAATATTTCCTTTTAAAATTTTAAACTTACAAAAATGGAAGTATTTTGATGAGATGAAAAAAATGAAAGAGAAACTATTTTAAAAACGGATGTAGTAATAAAAGAAATGATTTTTTTGAGAGAATATTTTCCTTCCTATCAAACAACGGAAAATATGATTGGAAAATAATTTTCCTTGAAAATCATTTTCCTTCGGAAAATATTATTCAAAGAAAATATTTTACCCCAACCAACCACAACCTTATTTATACATTTTTCTCGATTTTATCTCCGCCTACATTTTGGACGGGGTCCAATGAACGTCTTAAATCCGATTTATTTAATAGTTTTGTCCAAACCTTTATACCAGTCTTGCTCAATTTTAGGGAAGTATATTCAATTGATATTCTAAGATTATGTTTGGTTCACGGGAGAGAGTGAAAAAAAATGAAAAAGAAATCTTTTTTCTTGTTTGGTTATAAAATCTGAATTGAACCCTTGCTTTTACACCCACAAAAGATTGTAGCCCAAATCAGTCGAGCCCATACTCTAAGAGCCCAAACTTCCATTGAGATTAATTACTTTATCGGATTTCATGTCAGCTATTATTTGCGCCCAATTTCTTCCAGATCTGTTCCAAATCCCCCTCCATCTTCCCCACTCCGGTCTCCGCCACCACCAAGGAGGGAGAGAAGTTGATTACAAGTCTCTGATCGGAAGACGCCGCCACCATCTATGACGGCGGAATTAGCCAACGGGGTTGCGGAGCCCCTCTCCGCTTATCCCAACGGGCAACTGGGACCTCAAAACCCTAACTCCGCTGCTGCATCTAAGAAGTCCAAGGAAAATGAACGCCGTCGAAGGAGGAGAAAGCAGAAGAAGAACAAAAAGCCGTCCGCGGACGCCAATGGAGTGAATACGGATACTGCTCCCCATGACGCTGAGAATAACGCGGAGGAGAACTCCTCCCCTCAGAAGGTATTTCTAAATTATGTTTTAAGTCTGGGTCTCGAGCTGAATGCTATCTGTATGTTGTTCAGTTAACTAGTTTTGATTATTCCGGTAATATATGGCGCTGCTTTAAGATATGCAAATGGTAGACTTTGTGATCAATCGCTTGAAATAGCTGTTGCCTGGCGTTTTGGTGAATATTATAGCTATGAGCCTATGAATAGAGTGATGATTTTATTTAGTTAGTGTTTTCTAGTGTTAATATCAGCTCTTCTGTTTGATTGATGTGTTTACGCCATCAAAGAGGCATTTGTATATGCTTAAGCA